GGTGATCAAGAATTCTTATGTAATTATTTTTTAGCAACAAATCAAATATTTGATCACACATGCTTGAATCGAAGGTATACCTTTTGTTTTCTAGACGATCTTTTTGTGAGAACGGCTTTGGAGTTAAGAAAACGAAGGTTCAGATTTGGCATCTTCCCATTCGGCTATGAATTCTCTTTTGTATTCATTTTCCGATGTCCTTAAATAAGAAACTATACTAGCATCAGTTTTCCCAAAAGATTTTAACCTTGGCTTTAAATTTCTGAAATGAAGATATTTAGAACATACATGTCTCAGTTGAGACCAAGTGCAAGCCAAGTACGAAATAAGCAAAGCTACCCAACTAGATATAAACTTCAGATAAAGCAATGGGGAAAGCTTTGGCTGTAACAATAAGTCATTATTGGTCTTTATAAATAGCGCAATGGGTTGACCGATATGTTCCATAACAATTTTATTGCTATCAAGTAAATTACCCTTCTTCATTGGTCTTTCAAAATTACTTATGAGAATATTTCTTATAGATGCTTCAATAATGAAGTTGCGACCAAATCTAAAAATAGGTAAATTACTCGCTATGCATACCTCTTCAAATATGTTGGGAGAGCATGATGGTGGTGCCACTTGAAGAACATCTTGCTCCGTCTTTGGATGGCTCCCCAACACCTTGTCATCATCTTTTTCTTGATTCTGTGCATCATTGCTTTGAAGATCCATGTCAGCCGAACTTTGTTCGGCTACTTGTTCTTGTTCTTGAGGCTTGTCAATGGCATAGAACTCATAGGGCAGGAAGTAGGTTCCATTAACTTCAAAAAAATCAAGCATTGTTGTTTTGCTATGCTTGCCATGCCCTTTCCCAATAATGCTTGCCTCTTTGGATTTGATGGATTCGAAATATATACTACTTGATTCGGCTTTTTCAGCCGAAGCACTTTCAAGTTCCGAATCATCCTTCTTTTCATTGATACTACCAATTGGCAATGCTTCTTTTATCTGAGCCAATTCTTTTTCTATTTGTTTCTGGCAGCGAGCGGCAAAATTAGCTTTAAGCTTTTTCTCAATTTCAGCCCACTCCGGATATGATTGCCCCCCAATGCTTCTAGATTCTTTTGGCAATGATACACGGGTGGTGCCGAAATTTTGCAATTGTGTAGGGGGTGTATAATATGATGTAGTACTAGGTGAAGGTATATGCATTGTTGTAAGACCATACTTTTGCTCGCCAATTTTATCAATTGGCAAAGATTCATCTTCTTACAGAACTCTAGCTTTTATTGCGGCATAATCAGGAAATAGCCCCTTTTCATGTTGTTCAAGGCAAAGAGCACTAATTCTCTTATTTTGGGCTAAACTCTTCAATGCAGCCACCACTACCTCATCTTCTACAATATTGGGCACAACCGCTCCTGTAAAATTTACATTCATTCGGCTATAACCAGGAAGGTGTGAAGCCGAATTATGAGCATCTACAGTTGTGTATGGTGCCGAAGAATTACTAACATGAGGTGTAGCATATGACGGTTGAGATTAACTGGCCGAATAGCCACTAGTAGCATGGCCAATTCTCTCATTCATCGGCATGGTTGGATTACTATATTGCACATTAGTTGTCGATGAATAAAAGGGTGAAACACTTTCTTGCATGGCATTGGAAATTCTAACTTCGGGTGTTTCAAATTGATTAATCGAACTCATCATGTTGCTCATCGGCATAACAATTTCTGGGGTTGCCGATGCATGAGAGTTGGGATACATATGGTGCAGGTTACTAGTATCATAAGAAGTTGAAGCATGCAAATTACTTTGAATCGGCCCTTGCACGTAATTAAATGCATTATTAAAAAAACTAGGGCTAGCCGATAGAATATACTCATTGAACGATCTAGTAACACCATATGAATTATTTGCATCTACAGTAGGGAATTGGGTATTCATATTACCTTTGTAGACTGCAAACCCTAGATGACGATAGCAAGAATAGGCCAGAGACCGTTCAAAGCTTCATCCCCAGCGGAGTCGCCAAAAAGTGTGTTCGCACACGAACACGTCACCGTGTACCCTCGACGCCGGGGGTGATGCACCGCAGCTCACGTCGAAGGACACCCGTTTGGAAGCGCGGTACGCAAGCAATCCGGCGGGCGCTTTTGAGGACCCGAAACCCCACACGCCCGGGAGGGACCACGTCAGGGCGTGCGTTGGCTATGGGCTGCCCTAGGTCGGCAATACCGCCCCTAGGGCCTCGAGGTTCACCGCCCTGCAAAGAAGAACGGATGAAGAACGAGGAAGAAGAAGAACAAGGGAGAAGGAAAAATATAGGTAAAAGATGTAGATAGATTTGTTCGATTGTGTGTTGTTCAATCAGCTGTCACCTCTCATCTATTTATGAGGCGGCTGGACTTCCCGTACAAGAAAAGACTAAAAAGTCCATCCAAAACATCAAAAACCCTAACCTAACTCCGATAGGAATCTTTGGCAATTTCTCGGACCAACTCGGTTTCACCGATTGGTTCATTTAGGTCCTACTGAGTCAACATTGCCAACTCTCTGGTAAATTTTTGGACCAATTCGGTCTCACCGATCAAATCAACTTGGTCGGTCCGAAATGACTCTGCAGCTTCTGTTTCTGACCTTGTTTTGCGTCGTCAGGTTGCATAAAACCTCGGATTAAGACGATTTTTATATCAAAATCCACCGTTTCAACGAGACGCACAACTTTGCAGTTGTAAATTTTTCCATCAGAGGCCGTCTTAATTAGATTTCATGGCATTCTTTAATCTGGTGTCAACACGGGTATCTCCAAAATTGTCATATCTTTTGTACTTGAGCTCCGTTTTGGTCCATCTTCATATTTATTTCAATGATCTTGAAGAGGGCCATCAAATGGTGACATGAACTCATAATTTTAGCCTCATCCCATTATAGACTCAAGTCACTCTTCGCGATCATGCCATTTTTGAGCGTCAACAGCTACTTTGAGCTATTAATCTGGTCGGTTGGTGTTCGATTGTTTGCTTATTTGATGGATATTCTTCGAAAGTGCTAATGTGATCACGAGCTACAGTGGTCTCGTTATCTATACCACACACCTCTCTCGAGATGGGCCGAAGAGGTTCGCTATTTACAGCTGGATTTTCCGTTGCAGATTTGTTTGTATGGCACATGGCCCAGCTGTTGGAAGCAATAAATGGATATGCCGTTAGCCAGGCCCGTCGCTGGATAGAAATTCTGTGTCGCGGATCAGGAATTCCTCCATGATATGAGCCATCTCGATCGAGATTCTGGACGAACGGCGGTAGCTACCGTCATTTAATGCATCTACCCGTTGGAACAACCAAGCAATCTTCTGCCGCACGGTTCTCGTCTATATTATGCAGCTCCATCCTAGTGGTCAAATCATCACAAACATCGTTAACTATACGAGTTCGCAACCGAGCCGTTTCTGCAAACACCCAGACGAATTTTTTCAGTGCTGTCATCCCGTCCGGGTTGGGGGACACGCCCTGGTGCAGCAGCTCCAATCCGGACCCTGGTTTTTCCATTAGCATATGAATGCAGTCGAAATTAGATTCATATATGACCCATTAATACAAGTAGATACAAGTTCCATCTACCAGAATTCATATAGTTTTCCCATTCTCATATTAATTCATTCATACTTCACTTCTTCTTTGGTACAACCCTCCTGTACACATCAACCGTCCAGATTAGAAGATACCCTTTCGTGAGGATAAGTGAGTAGGGGTAGGATGGAAAATTTAGGTGGGGGCGGCGTACCGTGGCGTAGCGACGCGCGTGGCCGTACGGCCCGCTGTACTCCCGTACGTGGGCGGTGTACGCTGAATGAGGAGGAGGGCGGGCCCACACGTACTAAACCCTAATGAGATGAATCCATTAATTCAGCACGGATTAGGCGAATCCATTAACGCCGGCGCAGTGAGACGTCCTGTCGCCGGTGTCGGTCCGCGGGGGGCGCCGATTCACACGCCAACGCCTGACCGCCTATCGCGTGCCTGTCGCGCCCCTGCGCACGCCACCGCTTGACCGCCCACGCATGCCGCCCCCTTGCCTACCAGGCATTAATCGCTGGCACCGATTCTCATGCTGCCGCCTGTCCTTCTACGCCCTTGACCGTTCAGTGCATGCCGCCCGCTCGGCTGCCCCGGCATTGATCGCCGGCACCCACCCACCCACCACTATGCCCTATAAAGAGCGCCTCGCCCCACCGTCGCTCGCACACCATCCTCGACTCCCCTCTTCTTCTCCCCTGTCGCCTGCGTAGCCCTCTTGCTCCCTTCCTCTCCATCGTGCACCCTACCTCTCCATCTCGCCGGCTATGGCACGCCCCAACTTGACGCTCGAGGAGGCGGAGGAGCTCGCCCACTTCATCATCCCCGCCGCGCCCGACATGCGCCTGCCGGCGAGGTGGCGCCTGAGCGTCGACGGCGTGCTTGTGGCACTGGTGCCCGAGGTCAGGACCCACCTCTTCACCCGCGCCGTTGGCTCGCCTTTCGCCGGAGGAGCTCGCCGACCCCCAGTACGCCCCAAACAACCCCGGCTAGGCGGACCGCCTCGCCGACGACCACCTGCGCCGCCTCCACGCCTACGCCGGCCCGCACCCGCCCACGAATCACAACCGCGCGCGGCGGCATCAGGTCTGGGATGGGCGCACCTTCGAGGAGGTGGTCGCGCCGTACCGCGAGCAGGCGGTCACTGGCGCCGTTCCCGCTCCGCCGGGGTACGGCTTTGAGTTGTACCGCCACGGCGAGGCGCACTCCACCCGTGCCCGCGTCGACTTCGGCGCCATGCACCCGCCCGCACCCCGCGGAGGCCCAGGCGGTGACCGCGGCGTTATTCGCCTCGGCCGCGGCGATCGTTGTTCCGTGGACAGGAATGGCGCCGGGTCCAACTGCGCCCCTCTGCCCGAGCCGCAGCAGCAACCATAGCCGGCATTTGTGGCGGAGTACAGGCGGCTGTCGGCGGAGGCCGGTGACCCGGACGACATGCCGGGCAACCTGACAGCGCTCCGGGAGTCGGAGAACATGCCGCAGCCATCGCCGCTCGTCCAGGAGTACATTCAGCTCGCCCCGGGCGCCGTCCACCCGGAGGACTTTTCTGGGTATCACGCCGCGCTCGAGGACTCGATTGCTGCGCCAGCCGTGCCCGTGGTGCCCCTCGAGGACAGCAGCTGCAGCAACGACAGTGACGACGATGACGGGCTCTACGACGAGATGGACTTTGGCGGCGTCGAGGACGAGTAGTTTAGTTTAGGTTACTTTCAAAATAACATTTAGTAATGTTTAATTATTTTCCTAATGTTGTTTAGTTTAGTTAAGCTAAATTTCTAGTATTATGTAAAATATTTATGAAAACTATGATGAAATATCGAGTGTGTTTAAATGCATGGTTTTAAATATTGTTTACAAATTGAGTGTTCGAGTTAATACTATTATTTAAAAATGTTATATTGTATACAATTATTGTTCAAAATATAGAAACAGAAAAATTTAAACTAGAAGTGCAAAAAAAGTTTGAAAATTAGGAAAGAAAATAAAAAAGAAAAAAAGAGGACAAATAAATAATATTATCAAAATAGAATGAAACAAATTTTAAAAACATAAATGAGTTAAACTTTGAATGAAAAAAAACTATAAAAATTAGGAAAGGAAATAAAAAACGAAACAACGGTGGAAAATAAATAATAGTACCAAAAATAATGAAATTGTTCTCTTAAAGAAATTAAAATCAAAACAAAAATAAAGTTGAATTGAAAAAAATTATAAAAATAAAAACAAAGTAGATAAAAATGAAGCAATAAAAATATTAAATAATATTAGCAAATTAGAATGAAAATAAATTTTAAAAACAAAAATGAGTTAAACTTTGAATGCAAAAAAAACTATAAACATTAGGAAAGGAAATAAAAAACGAAACAAAGGTGGAAAATAAATTATACTACCAAAAAGAATGAAATTGTTCTCTTAAAGAAAATGTAAAATTTTAACAGAATTAAACTTGAATTGTAAAAAATATCAAAATTAAAAATGTAAAAAGAAATAAAGCAATAAAAATATTAAATAATATTAGAAAAACAAAACAGAAATTCGTACCTGACCTCGCCTCCCGCGGCGCTGCGAGCATCGCCGATGTGGGCCGGCTGGGCCGCCTTTGAGAGGCGCGCACGGGCGGTCCAGGGCGCAGAGGCTCAGGGGCGGTGTGCGGCGTAGATTTTAGTCCCACCGCCCGCCGAAGGGCGCCCGGACCGGCTTAAATAGGCGGTTTCATGCACCCTAGCAGATAAGATAGTTACTAAAAATATGGTTTGACTTTGCACTGCCCGGGCAGCGCTACCGCCGCTGCCCGGACAGTGTTACACTGTCTGGACAGCTGTGGTAGTGTTACTTGAGCATTGTAAACTCAGATCATATATTTACTATCTATCTTATTTTTGATAGTTTAGCACTTTACGGAAGTTTGTTTCATTAATACCTACATTTTTATAACATTTGTCACACCTGATTTAAATTAAATTTTTAGTAATTGAACAATCTTAGTGCATCCTAGTCAATATGATACAACACTATGGAAAAAAATTGGGTTGATTTGAAGGATGTCCGAAAAAACTCCTTTTAGGACGGGGCCTTTGCTCCTACCCGAACGGTGTACGGAAAAAGAGGCTGATTTTTTGACACCTTAAAAATGGACCAAAATTTTTCATGTGAGTTAGTATGCCCACTCCCACACGCTATCCAAAAAGTGATCGTATTTTGAAACGAAGAGCATGTTGCGTCACGTCCGATCAGTGTTTAGGTTTTTGGACCGAAAACATTATGGAAAATTCATAAAGTGGCAAAAAGCCACGAAACTTGTCATGCATCCTAGTCATGATGATACAACACTATGAAAAAAAATTGGGTTCATTTGAAGGATGTCAAAAAAAACTCATTCTTGAATGGGGCCTTTGCTCCTACCAGAACGGTCTACGGAGAACGAGGTCAATTTTTTGACCTCTTCAGAATGGCCCGAAATTTTGCATGTGAGTTAGTATGCCCACTCCCACACGGAATCCAATAAGTGATCGTATTTCGAAACGAAGAGCACGTTGCGTCACGTCCGGTTAGTGTTTAGGTTTTTGTACCGAAAAAATTATAGAAAATTCATAAAGTGGCAAAAAACCACGAAACTTGTCATGCAACCTAATCATGATGATACAACACTATGG